AATGAGTGCACACTGAACCCCAGAGCAGTCACTCCACTGTTTCTCATTCTCTCAACAGGATGTCGTGGCTGTCCAACTGACCACAGTGGAATTGGGTTAGAAAAGCTCAATATACTTGACCACCAAGAAAATATTCTTCTATATAACCTATGTTTTTAAAAATTAAATGTTATTTTAGTTTTTCATGAAAATATGTCTGTTCTGTCTTTCCCACCCACCCCATCCCCTATTAGGAAAAAAACCAAAATGTATGTAACAAATAAGGATGGTAAAGCAAAATAAATTCCCTCATTTCCACTCATTTTTACATTTTCCCTCTGGTCTCCCCTCATGTGTCAAAGGCCCTGTGGTCAGTGACTACTTGGGAGAGAGGCAGGTTGCCCAGCTGATGTGTGGAGTACTCTGGTAGGGTCCACATGAGCATACCAACAGCCGGTCATTCACCACCCACTGCCAGGGAGTCTTTGAGCTAAGGACGGCAGGAGAGCCTCTCTCCCCATAACTTCCACATTGGCAGGCCTTCCTGGAGACTGGTAGACAGAGGAGTTGGCTGTTGTTCAGCACTCTGTTGGTAATTCTTAGGACTGTTAGCTGGAATCACCTTCCCCGCACTAGGTTCACTCTGGATTCCATCAGTCCCTCTTCACTTTACTGACCTTCTGGAACTCCCTAGTACAGCTGCATTGGCCGGCTTGCTGGTCCTCAATCTCCCATCTCCATTCCTTTGCCTTTCCTCCCATGCCTGGCATTCTCTCTCCTCACCTCCGACTCTTGTTTTCTCTGGCTTCCTTCAAGACCATGTTCCAGTTTGACATTCTGCAGGAGGCCTTTCCCCATTCCCCTCTGAGATTACCTTTGATCTACTCTGTATCTTCTATGTACCTTATTTTTCCATGCTGGCTCACTCCAATGAAATGTAAGTTCCCTGAAGGCAGGGACTGTTTTTACCTTTCTTTATATCCCTAGAACAACAATGCTTGTTTCCCAACTGCCTGCCGAGTGCATCTCAACCCTAAAGTGCGCTTGTGGTATGCTTGTCTACCCCTGCTGATGGTAGATGGGCAGAGCTACTCCTTTCTACGAGGCGTCTGGCTTTGGGAATGATTCTAGTAGACAAGAAGGTCCATGGGGCTGAGGAAGACGCCAGTGGTCAGTACTTTAAAAGTGAGAAGGGCCTTTCACCAATGCCATCCCAATGAGTCCCAAGGAGGTATTATGGGGGGTTGTCAGGAAGGTTGGTGGCATGAAGGCAGATGACATAGAGGCGGCTGGGGCAACAGTTAGATAAAGTCAGCAAGTATTTATTAAGTACCTCTATGTACCTCTGTGCTACGTGTGGAGATACAACGAAATCACACGAGCCAGTCCCTGCCCTCAAGGAGCTCACAGTCTGGGGAGAGCCAACATGCAAAAAAACACGTACAGACGAGATGCAGAGAGGATAAGAGAAAGCACTAGCATCATGGAGGCCTGGGGAAGGCTTCCCGTAGAAGGTGGGATTGGGCCCACCCAATGCTGTCTGTGGGCGGATCTCTGGGATCCGAAGACCTAACCCCTGGGAAGAAGCTGGAGCTCAGACGAAGCCTTTGCTGCCCTGTATCTTAGTGCCCTCGTCTTTGGCAGGTTGAACTTTGACCCCCCCCCGTCCGTCCAGCTGCTGGACGGTCCCGAGTCTTTCTTAAAGCAGACTGGCCAAGCCTTTGTGTTGCATGTTCTGCCTTCCCCTCTCCTGCCTGGTCTTCTGCTGTCTCCATGAGGATTACCCTCCCCCCAGCTTGGGGATTTCCCTAATTACTGGCACATGTTGGCCCTGCCTCGGGCAGCGCGTGACAAGTAATAACTCAAACGCAGTGGAAAGGCTTGACTGTGTTTTTCAAGGCATGAAACTTTGGGAATTGGGGAATTTTATAACATGTTTTCAGCAACTACAAAGACGAGTGTTGAATGATCCTGAAGTGGTGATGATTTGATTAAGGTACAGAAACCTCTGACAAGTAGATGTGGGGGTGAGATGTGCAAGAACCTACTCGGGCAATTACTGGGTTTGGTCACCGAGGGAAAAGCATCATTATTCTAAGCTTGCAGACCTGGGCAGAGCCTGCTGGTCATTCTTCTCTGACTTAGCTTAACTCAATTTCTGGGCCTAAATTGCAAATCTTCTGTCACTATCCACATATCCTTACTATGTTATGTCTATTGCTTAACACGTGTAGATAGGAGTAAGGCAATAAAAAGCTGGACTTGTAGAAAGGAGTTTTATTTGCGGACCCGTGCAAATTTAGCTGGGTGGTACGTTGGATAGAGTGGTAGGCCTGGAGTCAGGAAGACCTGAGTTCAAATGCAGCCTTAGACACTTACTAGTTACTCACTTAATTCAGGTCTGCCTCAGTTTCCCCAACTGTAAAATGGGGATGAGAATGATAGCGCCTCTCTCCCAGAGTTGTGTGATGATCAAATGAGATATTATTTGTAAAGCACTTGGCACAGTGCCTGGCACACAAAATAATTACTTGTTTCTTTCCTTTGTAATAATAGCTAACATTTATACAGCGCTTTCAGTTTTGCAAAGCACTTTGCAAATATGAACTTATTTTATCATCATAATATCACTAGGGTTATTATTTTTTGTCATTATTCCCATTTTGCAGATGAGGAAACTGAGGCAGACGTTGGTTAAGTGACTTGTCCAGGTCAGGCAGCTAGCAGGTGTCTGAGACCACATTTGAACTCAGGTCTTCCTGTAGTCCATCTCTCTGTGGCTCAGTTTTCTCATCTGTAAGAAGAGGAAGTTGTACTCGATGACCTGAGGTCCCGTTGCCGTCAAAGCCTTTGACTCTATGATGCTGTGCAATGCCCTGCCATCTTCAGGATGCTGTCCTTCTCATAAGCCTCTCGCAAGGCAGACGTCTCAAACTTCCCCCTTTACATCTTCATGACTGAACTGGATTTAACGAGATAGACGCCAGAGTGTGAAATCACCCAGCTCATTTTGGCTGCCATCCAACCACACTTTGCTATGATTTCCTTTGCAGAGATTCTAGTGGTCCTTTTCCCCCAAGCAGCATAAAAATCGCTTCTTGTAAGTTACCAGAAATCGCCAAGAGCTACAAAAAGTATCTGCAAGTTATGAAGTCGCGGTTTTCCTTTTGTTGTGGCTGCTCACTGTCTGGAAAGCAGGGCTTCGGTTCACGTGAGCTACGGTCTAGACATGGGAGAGAGCCCCAGAGCCATTTGGGTTAACCCCACACCCCAATCTGTGCTGCAAGGCTTCTAAGAAGGAAGAGCCAGCTGCCTCCCAAAGCATCCCCTTCTGCTATCAGGCAGCTCCACTTGTTAGGAAATGTTTCTTTATTTGGAGCGGGATCCCTCCTAATAGTGGTCTTCATGAAAAGACTGGGTGTGCTCTAGGCAGATGGGGGTAAAAGGTATTTGTCAGATTTGGCTTGTTAGGTGGGCTTTGGAGCCCACCTTCCTGCTCAAAAGTTCTGATTCTGAGCCTAAATGTGCAACTTACCCTGAGTGCTCCGACAGCTTCACTCTGGGGCCAAGGATGCAGCAGATCTCACGTCCATGGAATTCCTCTTCAAAGACCTGAAAACAGCTATCGGGCCGTGAGCCCCCTAAATCTTTTATTCTCTAGAGTAAACATTCCAGGTTCTCTTAGCTGAGAGAAAGAGATGGAGACAGAGAGATAGAGAGAAAGGGACAGAGAGAAAGAGAGACACCATGTGCCAGTCACTATGATCAGGGCAGGAAATACACATACAAGCAAAACAGTCCCTGTACTCAGGAAGCTTGCATTCTAATGGAGGAAGACACCACATAAAGGGAAGGTAGAAAGGGGGAGCACGGAACAGGGACTGGACATGATAATTGCCAGAGCCCAGGTGGTTCCAAGGGCAGAATCATGAGTTCTAGAGTGTGTGTGTGTGTGTGTGTGTGTGTGTGTGTGTGTGTTCCTAGTTGCCCTCCCAGATGTGCTTCAGCTTATCACTGCTCCTGCTGAATGTCATGCCCAGCACTGCGTGTAATTGTGCAGGACTGTGGGATTCTCACCTCCCTTGTTCTGGGTGCTGGGCCACTATTAGTGTTCATGGCTTCCATGTTACACTATTAACCCGTAGTGGGTTTGTGGTTCATTGCAGCCTTCGGATGCTTTTCACATAAGCCAATCCTTAGTCACAGCTTCCCCGTCTTGTACTGTGGAGTTGTGTGTATGTGTGTGGGGGGGCATTGCACTTCTCTGTATTAAGTTTCTGTGTCCTTCTTTGTATTCAGATCTCCCATGCCTTGCACAATTCCTGGCACACAGTAGGTGCTTCCTGTGCGCTTGCCTATTGATCCTTCACACAGTAGGTGCTTCCCCTGTGTGCTTGCCTATTGATCCCTCACACAGTAGGTGCTTCCTTGCCTATTGATCCTTCACACAGTAGGTGCTTCCCCTGTGTGCTTGCCTATTGATCCCTCACACAGTAGGTGCTTCCTGTGTGCTTGCCTATTGATCCCTCACACAGTAGGTGCTACCTTGCCTATTGATCCTTCACACAGTAGGTGCTTCCTGTGTGCTTGCCTATTGATCCTTCACACAGTAGGTGCTTCCCCTGTGTGCTTGCCTATTGATGCTTCACACAGTAGGTGCTTCCTGTGTGCTTGCCTATTGATCCTTCACACAGTAGGTGCTTCCTGTGCGCTTGCCTATTGATCCTTCACACAGTAGGTGCTTCCTGTGTGTTTGCCTATTGATCCTTCACACAGTAGGTGCTTCCTTGCCTATTGATCCTTCACACAGTAGGTGCTTCCTGTGTGCTTGCCTATTGATCCCTCACACAGTACGTGTTTCCTCTGGGCTTGCTGATGGAGCCTTCTTCTCAGGTGCGGCCCTTTGGCCATCCCCTCGAGACGGGGAGAGGTTGATCTCGGCATTCAGACTTTCTCAGGTCCATCGGGACGCCTCCCTCTTTTCTCCAGTTGTCTCACGTGGCCCCATTTTTCTCTTCCAGGAGGAGATGGGCATTTCTTGTGAATTGCCGGAGTCTGACTTCCTCAAATGCAGTGTGGGATTTCCTTTCATGAGGTCGAAGACCAAGGTAAGGAGCTGTCTGCCTTCTTGTCCTGACCGGAAGCCGCCAGAGGCCTGTAGTAGGTAAAGACGCAGCAACAAGAGTGTCAGAGACAGAGGGCCTGGCTGCGCCGCTGACCTGGGGCAGATCCCTTGGCCAGTTTCTTTATCCACAAGACGAGGGGGTTTGCCCTGGGTGGCCCTTGGGACCTTCCAGCTGTAGGCCGTGATGCTGTGAGAAGTGGGCTCCGAGATCAGCGGCTGCTTTCTCTGCCTGTGGAGGAGCGTTACCTTGCCCTGCTAACGGTGGTCGCTCTGGGAGCTTTAGCTCGTGACCAAGGCAGTTAGCAGGCGGCAACGTGGCCCAGTGGATAGAGCGCCAGGCCTGAAGTCAGGGAGACGCGCCTTCCGGGGCTCAAATCCAGCCTCAGACACTTACTGCGTGACCTTGGGCAGGTCACTTAACCCTGTCTGCCTCAGCTTCCTCACCTGTAAAATGAGCTGGAGAAGGAGATGGTAAACCGCTCCAGTATCTGCCAAGAAAACCCCAAATGGGGCCATGGAGAGTCAGACAAGACTGAACGACAGCAAAAGAGCGAGTTAGCAACAGGGAAGACTTTAATCTTGGGGGTGGCTGTGCTGAATGCTCCTGTGGTATGGAATATGAGGAAAGGGTATACCCCTTCTTTCATTCTCACTAATAGGAATAGCTCACATGTGCTTTACACATTAGCATATATGCAAATACACAGTTAACATATATGTAAATATAGTACCCTATGAGGTAGGTGCTATTATCACCCCCATTTCATAGATGAGGAAGCTAAGGCTTGAAGAGGTTAAATGATTTATCTAGGGTCACACAGCCAATAAATATGGCAGGATTTGAACTCAGGTTCTCCTAAGTCCAGCCATCCTAACCACTGTACCACTTGGATTCCTGTCTTTAGGACCTAGTTACCTCTTGGGCTATTTAAGCTACGCAAAGCCACTTGAGAGGCAAGATGTGATCTCTGAACATCCCTTCCATCCCACCAAAATGAACCTTGAACCTTCTATAGTTCCCATGTGATATTTTTAAAAATTTTTATTTATTTATTTTTTTGGTGAGGCAATTGGGGGTGAAGTGACTTGCCCAGAGTCACACAGCTGGTGAGTGTTATGTGTCTGAGGCCAGATTTGAACTTGGGTCCTTCTGACTTCAGGGCCAGTGCTCTATCCACTGTGCCACCTAGCTTCCCACCCCCTCCCATGTGATATTTTAACAAGCCAAACTGGCCTGCTTACTGTTCCCTGACCTTGACCTTCCATTTCTGGTGGCTGGGTCTTTGCCCAGCTGTGCCCCAAGACTGAAATGCCCTCCTTTACTTCTGCCAAGACTCTTCTCAGATGCCGCCTTCTATGTGGAGACTTTCCTAATCTCCATGACCATTCTTTCCTAGTCTCCATGTCTCCAGTCATTCAATGAGTGCTAATTAAGCCCAGTGCATTCTCCCTCACCCAATAATCTTTATTTCCTTATCTGGATAAAGGTTGCACCCCCCCAGGAGAATATAAACTCCTTGAAAGTAGGGACTTTTTTTGGTGTGACTTTGTCTTATGTATTTTCATCCATGTAACACAGAGTCAGCCTTGTAAATAGTAGGTGCTTAATAAATGCTCAGGGAATTGAGCTTAATGGCATCATAGGCTCATTAAGCTAGAACTGGAAGGGATCTTGGAAGCCATCTAATCTCACTCTCTCATTTTACTGATGAGGAAACTGAGGCCAGAGAAGTGAAATGACTTTCCCAAGGTCACACAGATAGTAAGAGACAGAAGCAAGATTTGAACTCAGATCGTCTGATTGCTCTAAAGCCAAATACCCTTTCCACTATGGCATGCTGTTGTGATCCCTAACCCTGCTTTTGTATTGATATTGTAGGGCATTTTCCATCATTTAAACTTATCCACCAAAAATGATTTTAATCATTTTAATTGAAATATAAAAAATGCATCTCAGTGGAGGGGATACAGGTTCAAACTCCATTCATTCATCCAACTGTATTTACTGGTCACCCACGTGTGCCAAAAGCTGGGCATTGCAAAGAAGCATCAGATCTAGGTCACTCGTTACCTTGGCAGTCAAGTACAATATGAAAGGGAGGAGGGCTCTTCTGTCCTTGCGTCCACCATGACTTGCTCTGTGAGTTTTGGGGGAAATCACTTTTGACCCTATGTTTTTTTTTTTCATCTGCAATTATAACCCTTGGTGTGTGTCCCAGGACCATGGAGCCCATTTAAAATGGGAAGATACTTTGTCTTTCTTGCATAGAAGCCGTTGAACAGGAGACTTCCTTTGAGAGGAAGACGTCCCTTGTCCCCGTCCTAGCCTCAGTGTCTTGTCTTGCCAGGAGGGCCCGTTGCAGGGGGAGTCTTTGCCCAACTGTTGCCTTTGGCCCAACGATAATTTAAGGCAGCCCCTTTCCACCCTCTCTAATGGATTCTTGGTTCCTTCTCCCATACTCTTATTCCAACATAGACCTAAGCTTTGAGATCAAGGTCAATGATAATAGATTGGAAAGAAGGAGCGGAGAAGAGAAAGATGGAGAAAACAACAATAGTGTGTGTGTGTGCGCGTGTGTGTGCGTGTGTATGTATGTGCGTGTAGCTGGCGGAATCCCAGGCAAATCCCATCATCACTCCTGGTTCTGGGACTTGTACATGTCATCCGGGGAGTTTATGAGTGTGCCACCTAGTGGTGAAATTTCTTTGAAAGTCTTTGACTATACTTTCCCTTGAAAAAATTTGTAGCAAGATATAATGGAAAGAAAACTGGACTTGGAGTCAGAGGACCCGGGTTCGAATCCTGCCTCTGTCACTTCACACTTGTGGGACTGTGAAAAATTCACTTAAGCCCCCCAAGTCTTGCTTTTCTCGCCTAAAGTGAGAGTGGAGGGCCAGCTGGCCTCTGGTGAGCCTCCCAACCCTGGATCTATGAATCGGAGATCCTGGCTCTGCTTCCACATAGCTGGTTGATCGGCGCCAGCCAGCTCACCTCCGTGAGCCTCCCTTTCCCGATCTATCCAATGGGGACAATAACAGGGAGCACACAGGGAGCACGTGGCAGGCAGAGCTGGGGTCTGGTCTGATGCGGATTCCTTTGTGCCCCAAACAAGCTGCTCTGCCGCGGCAGCCTTTGTACCATCAGGTCCTGGGTCCACCCATTGGGCCGAAGTCCCGGGCTCTGCCTTGGCCTCCCCTGGCCTCCAATGCACGGTGACTCACTCGCTCAATCAATAAGCATTTATTAAGGCCCTCCTCCCCCACATCCCTTGCTTTGTCCTGTGTTTATGCGGTACTTATGAATTCCTTTTGTATATGTGTCCGTATTGTCTTTGTGGATAGAGCGTAAGCTCTATGAGGGCAGGACTTGTTTCCGCTCTTGCCTTTATGTATAAAGTAGGTACTCAGCACACACTGGTTGATTGGTTTGTTCTACCCCACCCCCAAATCTCGTAGTCGCTCCTTGACCCTTGTATTCCTGGTGACATCCCCGGGCTTCTGATGGGTCCCTCCTTCCTGGCCTAGTGTCTGGGGTTGGCCTCGAGCTTTCTTGTGCTGTCTTGATGTAGACTATCCCCTCCGCTGGCTCCTGCCCGTTGGTCCGAGGCTTTGGTGTGGCTCTCCTTTCATCCTTTGGGATCCGTCTTCTGGGGCCGAGGCTTGGCCGCGTCTCAGCCTGTCAGGAGCCCTTTCTGCTTCTCTGGGGGCATTCACGCCTGCCTCATTGGAGCATCAGAACAACGCGTGAGGGAGGGTAGGGCAGGAACTCTAATTCCAGTGTTGGAAATGAGGAAACTGAGTCAGCAAGAAGTGAAACCTCGCTTGAGGGTGCCCACACGTTAGGAGCTCAAACCCGATTTCCAGAGCCCTCTTCCAGATGCCTTTTCTCTAAGGACTTCCAAGTACAGTCTTATGTCTGTTCTTCTCTGTCTATGGGAAGGCTCATTTTATTTGGTTTTTGTTAGTGACAGCATAGACAATAAAATAAAAACCAGGCACTCAAAAACCTCCACGTGAGTATACGTGTCCCTTGTAGGTTTTAAAAAATGCATCCAACTTGTGATGCGTGAGGGAAAAGCACCGACATAGCGGTCATTTGTGGAACGAAACCTCAGGGAAAGAATGCAGCATCTCTCGGGATTTTATTATTGAAATTATGCACATGGCCAGATTCTGTTCAAGATGTTCATAAAAGGGAAAGCTTGTCAAGGGAAGGAGCCCCTGGGATGTGAAGACGCTGGACAAGACTGTGGGGGGCCAGCCTTGGGGCTGGGAATGTCCTTCGATACCAAACATCTCTTTCTCTCTCTCCAGTATGAGTTCAGCATGATCTTTGACACCAGCCACCTGTCTGGGGAGGAGGAAATTCTGAAATTCCTTGTGACTGCTCAAAGGTAAGGCATTAAAAATTCGGCCAAAGACATTTCTCATTGCTGTTGTTGCTTTTTAAAAGTGAGAATGAAAGGGGGTGCGCCGTGGCTGCCGCTGGGGAACAGTGATGGCACACGTCTCCAGAGTCTGCTGAGCAAAAGTGGAGGCATTTTTCAGCACGAAGAAAACTGGGCCAAGTGGGCCTCCATATTTATTCCTAGCCTTTGCTAACCCCCTGGAGAAGGTGCCCTAGCAGGGATGGCTGGGTTTCTTTACCAAACAAGACAAATTTATGTCAGCTACTATTTTTTGCTTTGCTGGAAGTGCTTCTGAAGGCAAATGTGTAAGGGATGTTGGAAGGCAGTGTCAGCCACCATTCAGAGGGGTGGAAGGGATGTGAGGGGCCCACCCTGGCTTCTCCCACTGACCAAAGCAGAGAGAGACGTTACCAAGCCTCAGTTCCTAGGCTCTGAGAAACAGTCAGTCAACAACCAACATTTATTAAGTACTTTCTTGTTAAGGGAGGGAAGAAAGTTAGACCTTCTGACTTTCCCAAGAAAACCAACTCTTTGTCTGTGTGAGAAGCAGCCAGTCTCACGCGTTTCCTGTGATAAAGGGAAGCTTTTGATGTTGGCTTCCCTGACTTTCCTTTTAAACTTGTCTCAGGCTGAGGCAGCTGTTCAGAAGAGCGATGAGGCTTTGTGGGTAAATCAGACTGCGGGGGGTGGGGGGTGCCCACAGGGCATCTCCCATTGGGAGATGATTCTGGCAGTCATATGGTATCGGGGTCTCTCGTGAGTAATATCCTGTTTCTGTTCACTTTTGGGAAAGGGAGGTGGGTGAGGGCTGCTATTTGAATCTGAGTTCTAGTCTGTAGGGAAGACTCGGAGCCGAGGCCCCTTTGCTTGGCTTTATGCTGGAGCATAAAGGGGCTCAAAGAGAGAGGGGACAGGAGAGGCATCCATTAGAGTGGAAACTCCATGAGGGCAGGGACTGATCTGGGCCACCGGAGATACTTAATCAATGATCATTGAATTATAAAACTGAGGTTCCATGAGTCTGAAATTTATTTTATTTAAAATTTTTAAATCTTTTGATTTTTCCATCATTTTCATTTCTAAATACAGGGTAGCCCCAACGTCTTAGTGCAGCATGAAGTTTTAATAACTTAAAAATAACTAAGACTTTTGAGGTCCTCTCCCTTTCCCAGAAAGTCAAAGAGTAAAAAATCAGAGGAAAAAGAAGCAATTTAACAAAACCAGCCAACAATCCACTGAGTCTGGCAGCAGATGCAAAATCCTGCCCCTGTCGTCTCCCACCTCTGCAAAGAGGCAAAGGAGGGCCAGTTGGATATCCATGCAAGCCTTCTCTGTGTTACATCTTAATGATTACACAGTCACTGGAACAACTGATTCCATTTGACATTTCCATCTGGGATCTGCCGGTGACTGGGCTTTCATCTCACGCCTCTGAAGTTAAGCGGAGGGAGTTCCCGGGAGCCATTGTGCTCAGGTAGCCCCTTCCTGGCCCCTAGGACAGTGTCTGGCTCCTTGTGGATCTCTTGGGCCATCGGCCATCCCTGCTGCCTTAAATGGTGCCTCGTTTGCCAGAGACAGCCAAGTCTTTGTCTGGAGAATGTAAGCTCCCTGTGGCTTGTTTGCTCTTGTTGTGTCTGTGTGTTCAGCACTCAGCACAGTGCCTTATGGTGGAAGAGGCTTAATCAGTGTTTACAGAGTCAAGAAAGCGCTCCTGGGGCTCAAGTCTAGTGCTTCTTCTTTCTCACTCTGAGGGCAGTATTTTCAGATGTAGCTTCTCCTATTTGTGTCTGTCCACATTGTCCAAGTCAGAAATGTTTGTAAAAAAATTCATGTAACCCCCCTCCTGGACATCTGTCTTTGCTATCTGGCCCCTCAGTCTACACGAGATGCTTTCATGGGAGACCCAGCATGTGGCTGCTGACCAGAGCCGTAACTAAGGTGGGGCAATTGGGGCTTTGTGCTGGGGTGCTAATTTTGGAGTTCTTCGGCAACAAAAAACACCAATTTTTTACCTCGTCAAGAGGCCTCTCCTAGTCTCCTTCTCCCCCTGTCCCCCAATTCTGACCTCTAGTTAGTGCTTTTCCTTTGAGGTTACCTTTTGTGTATACTGTATATGTCTTGCATGTATATAGCTATTTGCATGATGTCACTCCCCCATCACAATGTGAACTGCTTTAGGACAGAGTCTGTTGTCTTCCTCTGTGTCCCCAAGGTTTAGCTCTGTGCCTGTCATATAATAAATGCTTGTTGACCGTCAAGATGGGAAGCTACCAGTTGGCTTGCTCGGGTGCATTTACCCTACTCCTGACGTCGAGAGCACGGTTCATGCCTTATTTTCTGGGCAAGGTCTTTGGTACCTTCCCCAGGGGGAATAGCTCCTGATTTAGCCTCTGCTCCTGAGCGCCAGGAATTGGCTCGTTCACAGTGATGTCTCAGCTTGGCTCAGCAGCTTCATCGGGGCCTTCAGACAGATGCAATGACACGGATATTTCCTCTTTCTCCAAACCAGTGGCAACGTAGAACGCTCCGACTCCCTCCATGACAACACCCTCATTCTGTCCGTGCCTCTGGTGCATGAAGTAGACACGTCCATCACTGGGTAAGTGACCACCGATCGACCACAGGATTGTCAAAACGTGTGGTCGATTTTATTCTTTCCAATTTCCCCTTTGATCTCTGAGTGCTCCTCCAACGTGGAAGGCAGAACTCCCTGACCCTCTGGATCTTCCTCATGCCTTCTCCTTCTTTTGTCACAGGAAGCCCGAGAACACTAGTCATTGGCTGACAAACTTAGATCCTGCAATTCGAGGAATATTCTGAACTCCAATATCTTTTTCATTTTCCCAAGAGTTCTAAGAAAATCCCAGATGGAGGCCAGTTCTGTGGTTCTGCAATTAAAACTGTGGTTGAGAGGCTTGGGGCCAGAGGTTAAGGCTAGCTGTTCTAAGACCAGTCGGCAGTGGGGTTCTGCAATTAAAGCTGTCATTGAGAGGCGTGAGACTAGAAGTCAAGACCAGATGTTCTAAGACAGTAGTTCTTGGGCTGGACTGGCTTTTCTGATGACCTGTGCTGTCAGAGCAGGGGGTCTAATAGATGTCTTTGTAATTTATAGTTAGTTCTGGATGCCCCTCGTTACCCCTTGGTCTGAAACTAGTGAGGATGATGTCAAGGGTCTGGAAAATTGAGGCAGTGAGGGTTTGGGAGGATAAGTGTCCGTCGGCTGCTGAAGATGGTGCCTGGAGGAGGAGCCATGGATGCGACTCCTGTGTCCACATTCAGGAGTCACGCCAAAGGGCGCTTGCCTCTTGCTGATGGAAGCTGAAGGATCTCCCTGATTTGTTTGGATAAAGTAAGGACCTGTTGAACCCTAGCCCCCAAATGTGGGCTGAACTCTTGAAAGGTTCAGAGACTCTCATCTTTGACTTTCAAGTGTTCCTGGGTCCCAGCCCAGGCTGGAAATGGAAATGTTGAAATCTTGCAGAGAGAGCTGACCTGGTGATGAGACTCCTAAACTGGCTTCAAAGGCAGGGGCACTGTGGCAACCTCCTCCTCCTAAGAGGAATGATTTGTTTTCACCAGATTTCTAACTCTGTGTTTTGAAAGAGGCAGCACGATGCAGTGGAAAGGCTGCTGGGTGGAAAGTCTGGAAAGACTTTCAAATCTGTTCTTTGACACTTAGTACCCGCATGGGGATCGACAAGTCATTTAATCTTCTCTGAGCCTCAGTTTGTCCATCTGTAAAATGGGGATCCTACCTCCACTGTCCACCTCCCAGGCTTGGTGTGAGGAAAGTGCTTATTATAAAATGCGAGTTGTTATTACCATTATCTAGTCCTGGGATTGTCCACCGATCCAGGTTTGGGACCCCACCCTCTTATGGGTAGGAGGTGCCCACAGTCCCATGTAGGAGGGGGCGTATAGACCTATGTGACCTCCACTGGACTGGAGACGCCTTTTGTCCAGAGCTGTGCCTTACTTATCTTTCTCTTCTCCTTAGCCCCTAGTGCAGGAGACCTTCAGTCAATATTTATCAAATTAGATGGGTGAAGTGAACTTTGCTCATCAAGCAGCAGGAATGGTAATGATAATGATGTCGAGTTTGCATTTTAAAGTTTGCAAAGTGTTTACATATGCTAGCTCATTGGAGCCTTATAATCACCTAGAGAGCTAGCTGCTGTCAATATACCAATTTCAATGATGATAACAATAATAATAATAATAATACTAGCTAACATTTACATAGTGCTTACTATGTGCCAGGTGCTTTACAAGCGTTATTGCATCTGGTCCTCACAACTCTACTATTATCTCCATTTTACAGATGAGGAAACTGAGGCAAACAGAGGTTAAGTGACTTTCCAAAGGTCACATAGCTAGTGTCTGAAGTTGGATTTGAACTCAGGGCTTCTTGATTCCAGGTCCAGGGCTCTTAACCCACTGTGCCACCAGCTGCCTCCAAAGATAGATGATTTCTGGGCAAAAGTATGAGCAAATGCTCCTGGCCCTGCTCCCATGTCTCTCATCTTCCTTCCATGCTGGTGCCCTCTTACTACACCGGGCAGGCTGAGTCCACTCACACAAACAATAGGCATCTGTGGATGTTTTCAGTTGAGCACAAACATGCACAGTGTCAAAGGGTCTTCTCTAAATTAAGAAGATAGTTCCTTCGAGTGACAGAAAGCTATGATGCACAAGCATTCCTGTACATAAGCTGGACTTCGGTGACCCCTCTCAGTGACTTCTTCTAGTCCCAATTAGGCCAACCTTGAAACCAATCCAAGGGGGGTTCTCTGTTCCAAAGTGAGCAGGGTGGAAGGAAGGAGGAGAGAGGAGAGCTGGGGGAGGAGGGAGGCCTTCATCAGACTTCTCCTCTGCCTGTCGGGAGCCCTGGCATCGGGCCGCTTTCTCACCTGCCAGGAATGCCAGAGAGATACCAAGAGATAAGAGAAAGAAACACTTCAGTCTGGTCTGATTGTGTGGCAGGTGTCCTATAAAAAGTCGAATATTATAATTCAATTTTTATTTTTAAAAATCTTAGTGGATGTCTTTTGGTTTTACAGCACCTTAATTTCCAGCTCTTTCTCTTCTCTGTTCCCTCCCCAGGAATCTTTCCTTTTTAGCAAAGGCACTATGGAAAGGTTTATTCTCTTTCCTTCCCTTCTCATTTAAGGCAGAAGGGGATATTTGAGTACAATTCAGGAGATTCCGAAGGTCTGGGTTTGAATCTTGGCTTCTGCCCCGACTAGCTTGTGTGACTCTGGCCAAGTCACTCTGCCTCTCTCTGTTTCAGTTTCCTCCTCTATAAAATGGGTATCATAGGAACACTTTTTCCTTCTCAGGGCTGGTGTATGGAAAGTGCTGAAAAGACCTCTCCAAATGTGAATTTGGGTGATTCTGTTTTTCCTTGTAAATGAATGTCTCCACCCAAGTTGGTGTTTGATGCCTCCAAACAACATGGCGCTGAGTCTGAGTCCTTGAAAGCTTGTGTGGGTGGCATGAAGGCAGATGTGATCCAGCTGTGGAAGGGTCGATGATAGGCTGCCTGTGTGTGTCACCTGAGGGCTCACCAGCTAAGTGACCACTGTGTGTGTGTGTGTGTGTGTGTGTGTGTGTATGTGTATCAATTTCCCCTCACAGAAAGTGTCAGAGCCCAGATCTGAAGTCATCAAGGGGCTTACACTCAGAGGGGCAAAATTACTTATCCTTGAAATATCCAAGTATTAACCAGGGAAGTCTGATGAACATCTACCTGAGGACACAGAGTGGTGTGGTGGCCAGAAACCTGGTTTCCAGGCCTTGAAGTCCTGGGTTCCAGTCTCACCTCTGACACCTCCTGCTGGGTGACTCAGGGCATTGCCCTTAACCTCTCTAATGCTCTACATTGCAGGTCAGGTGCTAATTTAGATTATGGAGGGACTTTCCTTTCAGAGAGTTTCTACTCTAATGAAATCATAGATCTGAATTTTTTAAAAAATGAGCCAATCCTCGTGTTTCCTGGGGCGTTGATTCCCTTCACCATAATGCCAAGACCTCCCTCTGATTCCCAATGAATGAAATGACTTCCAGAGTGCATGGACCACTTTCCGATTCCAGTTTCTTCCCGTGGGTTTTTTTCTGTCTGCTGTTGGATTTCGACAAGTGAATGACTCCTCCGGTACCACCCAGTGATTTGTTGATGGTCTGTTATGGAGGCATTGGGAGGAATCTGGGCTTCAATTTCCTCATTTGCTTTGTTGAGAGAGGAGATGTGGAAATCACCAGGACTGAATGGCCAAGCGGGGAGATGTTACTGGATCCCTGACCACCTACCTAGCTACCCAACCCCAGCACTTTGCCCACAACCCCCCGAACCTCCTCCAACTGCTTATTTTGGTTGTCACTGCCATCTAAGCCTATAATCTTCAGCACTCCTGAAATTGTGACAATTCCATATGAAAGGAGAATAACTGGATTTTGTTGGTTTTGTCATTTGTAGAGTGTGGTTTAGAATATCATCACAAAGCAGGACCCCCTCCCCCCCTTTTTTTTTCAAATCTTGCTGTGGCGTGCCTTGGCTCATGAACTCATTTTCAAATGATAACCCAAACCAGAAACCAAAAAAGTAGACTTTCATCCATCAGTTCTGAAAGAAACTGTAGTTTATTTCACGTTGGCTCGGCAGCCTGGTCGTGTGGGTGGGCTTAGCATCAGAAGACTGCTCACATCTCAGCTCTGTCGCTTACCAGGTTTGCAAGCAACTTCTTGAGCCTCAATTTCCTCAGCTATAAAGTGGGGATAATAATTTTACTTTCTTTATAGAATTGTTGTGACGGGAGACCTTTGTCACCTGGAAAGTCTTAGACGTGTGTGAAGTCTCTGGATCCCAGAAGCACAAGATTTGGAGTAGGAGAATCTGTTCAAATACTGGCCTGGGTGTCTACTGACTGTGTAATCCTGGCAATCACTTAATCTCTGCAGAACTCAGTTTCCTCGTCTGTCAAGTGAGGGGTTTGGACTAGATGACCCAAGGCTTCTTTCAACTCTGCATTGGTGATCCTGTTTTCCTATGAACCTGAGTTCAAATCCTAGCTCTGCAACTTATTATCAGCTGTGACTTAAGTTAATGTGACCTGCTGTTGGTCATGTAGGTAGCGAGGGGCAGGTGAACTGAGATTTGAACCCAGGTTCTGGGATGCTATACTGCTCAGTGTTCTATGAATGCTGGTGACCTGGAACCCTAAACTCAAAGCCAAGATGACGGGCTTGTCTCATTGTTCCTACAGAATCGTGTCCCCCACCTCCTTCATGTATGGTGAATCCATTGAGACGTCCAACTTCATCCACCTGGAGGACTGGGAGTGCCAGTATCAGCCTCTCAACATCACCCTGCAGGTAAGAGCCCCGAGTTCCCAGGAGCCCACTGGCATTGTCTGCTTAGTAAAACTAATTAGAATTTACTTGGCTGATGTGGTCAAGCCCCGTTCTCTTCCCTGAGTATCCACTGGCTGTTGCATTTCCATTTCACACAGGGCTCTTTCATGATCGCTAGATGGTGGTGCAGTGGAAAGGTCACTGCCTATGCCTTCAAGCTCTGCCTCCGCCACTGTCTACCCGTGTGACCGTGGGTCTCAGCTTCCTCAGGGTCCAGCCATGACCTCTGAGGTCCTTCTCGTCATAGAGCTATGAGCCCGTGACCCAGTCAGCCTTTTCTTTCCCCATCTGCTCTTCTGTTGGCCGTGGGCTTTCCTCCCCGCCTGGTGGGAGAGCTGGAGAGTGAAGGCTGCTGGTTCCTTCCAACTCAGCAGTGTTATTTCAGCTCTGTCCATTGCTTCCCCTCCTTCTGATAAGATTCATACCGGTGATATTAATGACAATAGTACCAGGAGCTAGCGAGGTAGCGTGGCCTGGTGGATAGAGAGCCGGCCCCACAGCCGGGTTGGCCTGGACACAAGTCCTGATTCCAACATGTCCCGGCTGTGTGGCCCTGGACAAGTCACCAACCCCTCAAAGCTCTCTAAACCGTCAGGCATTGATTAAGTGTTTACTGTGTATTAGGCACCATGCTTTCTAAAGCTGTAAAGTACACAAGGGTGCTAACCTGCACCAGGAAATGGAGATTTTTCACTTGGGATTTCCCCATGCCAATGAGATCACAGGTTCACTCTCTATTCCTACCCCTTAAAAATTACTAACATTTCCATATCAAATTAAGGATTACAAAGCATTTTACATATATTAACTCATTTGGTCCTTATGATAACCCTGTGTATTAGGTGCTATTGTGATTCCCATTTTGCAGGTGAGGAAACTGAGGCTGACAGTGACTTGTCTAGGGTTACCCCGCTAGTAAGTGTCTGAGGTAGGAGTCAAATTCAGGTCTTTCAGACTCTCTGTCACACTGTTTCCCATGAAACAGCAGTACTATTTCATTTATAATATTGTATTTACAGGCAGAAGAGTGCTGGGTTTATAGTCAGAGGACCTGAGTTCCAATCCTGGCTTTCCTCTGTTAGCTTTGTGATGGTGGCCAAGCCCCTCACTTTTCTAGCCCTCACTTTCAGCTTCTGTGAAATGAGGAGGTTGAGCGAGGTGAGACCTCAGTGTTATCCCATGAGTTCCACATTCTCAACTCCCTTCCTGGGGGCCTGGCCTTCTTTTGCCTTCTCTTCATGGATAAAATGGTTTGTGGATAGGCCGTTGCATGGACCCAGCTAGAACGTGTCTCTGTGCTGCTCGAGCCAATCCCACGGACATTATTCCTCTTCCTTTGGCCTCCAGGTGGGAGTTAGGGAATGGAAGAGAAAGACAAAGAAAGGGCTGTGAGAGGGCCTGGGAAGGCAGGGGAAGGAAATAACCTGGGGGATGGGCAGAGGGTGTAAGACAAACGTTTGTTGCCTCTTATAAACAACTGGGCTCCTTTGGCCTGTGTTCCCGAGGCCCTGTGCTACCTCCAGGCTAATGGGTAACCCCATGGCTCCATCTTGGGGAGGGGAGACTCCATCTCAGAGACTGTCATGCCCTGCCCTTGATTTACAGGCAGGGAGGGTGGAGCGCTGTCAGAGTAAGAGCTGGAGGTTCATGAGTGACGACTGTGAACAAGGCCCAGACCACCAGTTCCTGGGATTGAAAAAGAGAAAATTAGTTGCAAAGATATAGTTTTTTCCGTTGACTTTTATTATTGGTTGGGAAACAGATAAAGACCAGAAGTGCCATGACAGTCATTATATTTATAACTTGGGATGCCTCCCATAGTCATACTGCAAAAAGCTTTACCATATAAATAAAGAACATAAACACATAAATGTATAAATAGTGTGTGTGTGTGTGTGTGTGTGTGTAAATTGCCCTCTAAGAAGAGACTTTCTTTCCAATGTCATCATCAACCTTTCTCTGGTAGAAATGGAAACGGGTGGTGTATTTTGGAATCCCTAACTCCCTCAAAGTACGATGCAGGGGCTGGGCCGTCTCCTACTTGAGACCTTTCCTAACAGTCTCAGTTTTTGCCTTCTCCCTCCTTCCCCCGTGAAATGTGAGTATTCACATATTTACGTGCACATATATATGGGTGTGTCTAATATGTATACACACATATATGCGTATACATGTACACATACATGCACACACACATACGCACACATACTCATATGTGTATATTGTATTTACTCATCTGGGTAAATATTGCTTCTTCCTATTGGAATATAAGTAAGCTCAGTGCCTGGCTTAATTGGTGCTTATTATAACTGGTGCTTAATTAACGTTTGTTTGGTGTACTGAAGGGGGTAGGCAGATGTATAAAGGCTCCTGGGGGCATAGATTCTGACCCGGAAGAGTCTCATCTGCTGCTGCTGAGTCCAGTCACCTTATTTTACAGAGGACTTAGGTTAAGGGCCTTGTCCAACACCACGTAGGGAAGGTCAGAGGTAGAATTCGAACCCCAGGCCTTTGACTCAAGAGCTCTTTCCACCGTTGTTGGTGTTGTTCAGCCATCTCAGTCATGCCCTACTCTCCGTGACTCCATTTGGGGTTTTCTTGGCAAAGATAGTGGAATGGTTTGCCATTTCCTTCTCCAGCTCCCTTTCCAGGTTATAACAGTTAAGGGGTCATCCATTCAGTCTTTGCTCTCTGTGCCTCAGTTTTTTTATCCATAAAAAAATCTATAAATATGAAATAGATAATTATAAATATCTGTAAAACTCACTGTCCTATGAGGTCCCTTTCAGTTCTAAGTCTGTGGTTCTAATGAGGGGGAGCTCACTGGTTCCACAGGCAGCCCACTCCTCTTTGGGGCAGCTGTTTTCATTAGGAATATGTCCTCCTATCAAGGTCTCTCTGCTTCAGTCTTCTCACCTGTTCAAGAAAAATGGGAGGAGTTGGACTTTGAGGCCCCGTCCAACTCTCGGTCTAGGATCCTTTGGTTTCTGATGGTAATTTTGCCTCCTGCAATCACACAAGACCCTCTTCCGTGTATCAGCCCTGACGATACTAAGACGTCTCTCACGTCCCCATTGAGTTGTCTTTTCTCCCGTCCCTCCAGAGATCCTCGTCTGGCATGGACTTCCGTCATCCTGGTTGTCCTCTCTTGACACTCTCAGTGTTCTTTTCAAACCATGGTGCCATCCGGCGCTGAGCTCGGTGCTCCGGGGTGGTCTGACTATGGCTGTGTATGGTGGGTCTCTCACCTCCCCATTCCTGGAAGCTTGGCCTGTCTTAACATAGTCCAACAATTGCATTATCCTTCTTGGCTTCCATATCACACTGTTAACCTCGAATTGAATTTGCAGTCTATTAAAACCCACAAAGCTTTTTCAAATGAACTGCCTGCTAACTGTCCCTCCCTCATTCCTTGCCCTTGCCAAAGCCAATGTTTCTTACCTTCCTTTGCTTTTTGGCTCACGTTCTGAGGTTTGCACTGTTGAGCTTTTCTCTCTTCTCTTTGTGGTCCAAACCCAGCCGTACTCCAAGGCCAGTGCGTTGCCTAGCTTACTTCTCTGCCTACTTCTATTTTCGCCTTCGTTGTTTTTCAGAAAAATGATCAGGCATCTGGGGACATATTGGCAGGGTGGTTAAAGAGGAGAAGTAGGAGAGGATTCCAAGGGCGAGATGTTAATGTGTGGTTAGTTACATCTTGCAAAGGGAATAAATTAGGGTAGCTTGCGATATCATCTTGGATCTAGAGAAGAGATGAGGAAACACACTTCCCTTCTTTCCAAGGATTGGGGAGGATTATGGCAGCAGGACCTCACCCATCCTGTCCAACCCGGGGGCTGCCAATTAGCTTGCTTTAACTTTTTTTTTGTTGGTGATGTCACAAGGCTCATTGGGCAGATGAGAGAGGAGGTACTTTATCTGCAAACGACTGTGATATAAATGACAAAACCATCAGCAAACCATCGGCTTCATTAATATTTTAAAATACAGCCTTATGGAGTGGAAAAGTGCAAGTCTGAGGATCAGAGAGATGAGTTCCCTACCTCAGTTTCCTCACATGTAAAATGAGTGGCTTGAACCAGACTGCTTCAAATGTTCTTTTTGATCCCCAAATCAGTTTTTTGCCATTTAGATTTTCTGGAATATCAAGCAAATAAAATAGTTTATAATGTTTAGCAGGAAGAAGAAGAGAGAGAACCCTTAAAAGGGGGGGGGATATATTATTTTGTAGTGTTAGGTTTTTTGTTATATTGAACTTACCTTTGCATCTATGTTCCACCCTCTTAAGGCATGACTTTCTCTGAGTGACTTCATAGCAGCCGTGGAGACACGGCGAGTCTAACGGGAAGCTTATTCTTATTGTACTTGATATAGAGAAGCAGGGTGGGGCAGTGGATGGAGGGCCAGTCTTGCAGTCAGGAGGACTTGGGTTCAAGTCCTGCTGATGACCCATATGAGCTATGTGACCCTGGGTAAGTCACTTACCTCCCTTGTAAGTGTCTGGGAAGCTCTCTGGAATGGCAAGTTCAAGGGAGGTTCCTGAAACTGATAAATCATCGATTAGACCAAAGCAACATAGCCGTATGCTTGTGAGTGATACTTTCACTGGGTAACATGAGTGTATGTATGGAATGTTCCCAGGTTTATAACACTGGACCAAGCATGCTCCCTGGCTCATCGGTCAGCTTCTGGATCCCCGACCGGCTTTCTGCAGGAGATGTCGAGATGTTTCTCATCCAGGAGGTGATGGTGAGTTTCGGGGCTCCTGCCCCCTTGTGCTGAGTAGACCTGAGACTGTAATCGATATTTTCTTTCACGTTTCCTTCGTATTTCCATCCCTCCCTCTCCCCAAGGCCCTAGGCAACAAAAGGCCAATTAATCCCATGTAATTCACTTCAATTTAAATGAATTCACTTTATTTCATTGAATGAATTCAATTCAGTTTGATTCAGTTCAATTCAGCAAACATTTAATAGGCAGGTCTGTAAGGTAGAGAGAGATAGTGTTGTGCAGTGGCTAGAGAGATGCCCTTCAAGCCAGGAAGACAAGTCCCCCTCTGACCCATGTTGGCTGTGTGACCCTGGACAGGTGACCCGACCTCTCAGAGCTCTAGGTAACCTTGAAGACTCTCAGGTGTAGAGCACATGCCCACTTTCATGGGTACAGGGATTTTCTGAGCTGACCATTTGACCTTGCAAATCTCAAGCAGAGATGTCCAGGACTGGAATCCTCTGGGCCCCTCTTTCTCACATTCTCTGATGGTGTATATAACCTTGGCTTAAATCAGTCCTGAGGTAGAGCTTGAGGTCGGGCACAGCACAATCCAGTCATTCTGTAGGCAGAGGATGTATACAGAGCCCCGTGGCAAGGTGACGGAGTCTGACGTCCCCAGGACAGGATCTGGCTGTTCCTCATTGTATCTGGGGCTGCCTATGGAACCAGGGAGATGCTAACTTTTTAGTGATGCTTTAGCTGTTATATCAGCATTTGACAGAAGTCAGTCTTGACCCATTTTTAAAAATGGATGGCCAGTTAGCTTCATTAGGGCCATGTGTCTTACCTTAGGGGCATAACATAATGAAGTTAAAATGCAAAGTTACTTTTTAGGATGATATTAGGGTGTGCCTGAGCCCACTGGCTCGTTCCATCCACACACCTATGGAATCTTATTATATGGGGAGAAGGAGAGAGAATGGAGCTGGGATTTCATCATGCAAGGAATTTCCATGTAGAGAAATTCCCTCTACTAATACAGATAGTTGTTACCTTTTCTGCAAATTACTCAGCTAGGTCCCAATTAGTGTGAATAACAAATTCCCCAAAGTGGTAGCATTCTTCAAATCCACACTACGTTTTTCGATTGAGTTGAAACCAACGACCATATTGTACATAATTATAACTTGGAACAATGTGAATTCAAATGTGGGGGATCACTTCAGGAGATTTGCTGTTTACACTAATTGAGACCTAGCTGTCATCTTAAAGAGTTACCTAGGGCCTTGACAGATGAAGAGATTTGCCCAGGGTGACCCAGCCAGAAAGGTCAGAGGCAGGACTAGAACCCAGGTTTTCCTGGGTTCCTTTGAAACTGCCTCTTTAGACACTCTGCTATCTTTCTGGGCTTTGTAGGCACTTAATAAACATTTGTTAACTTGAATTAAATCGAATCAGATCTAAATGATTGCAGAGAACAGAATGGAAAGACATATGATTAATGGCCTGGCCTAGTAGAGAAGCCAGGAGGCTGGAAGTATGTCCAGATGATGAGTTTGTGAGTAGGATGCATTTGTAGCTCTTGGTGATGTCACAGAAAAATAATAACTCAAGGCTAAGGAAGTAACTGAGCTAGGAAAACCCCTCCATAAAGTCTGTTTCCTGAACCACAAGGCCGTGATGTCATTACTCTGTTTATGTAAGTGAAATGGAAGACCACCCATTTTCTGTGATGGGCAGCAGCTCTGAAAGGTGGCCCTGACTGTGCCCCTGGACCCAGTGCATGGTCACTGTTCTCTGGTGACAAGGGGGATGGTTTAGGGCAGGAAGCCCACAGAGCCTTAGCCAGATATAGTCCAAGCAGGATGGGATATCTATTGAGCGTGTCATAGCACGGATCTTGTCAAACTGTAGTGCATACATGTTCTTCCATGCCCCCACATCTCTCTAAGAACCGGACTGAGCTATCCGTGTTAGGTACCCATTGGCACAAACAGCCCCCTCTCTCCTCTTCCTGGAAGTCTGAAAATGTTCTCGTAGGACCCATTTCTGGGTGACGTTTCAGGTGTGGTATATGAATGTAACGGAATACTGTTGTGCTATAAGAAATGATGATCAGGCAGACTCATCATTTCTTATAGCACAGCAGTATTCCGTTACATTCATATACCACGCCTCGTTCAGCCATTCCCCAATTGATGGGCATTTCATGAGTTTCCAAGAATTCTTAATAAAAATCAAACCCAACAAGAATCTTTCTTATAGCTCAAGTCCCCATTTTGGGATATGGGGGGAATTTTGATTCTACTGCCCTTGAAATCTTGGCTACAAATCTGTTCTCTGCCTTGCTTTCTCTCTGTATCAATATCAAAAGCCACTTACCGGCACCCACCCCCTCATTCCCAGTTAAGAACGTGGGACCATACATCAACAGCTAGAAGGGTGTGAAGAAGAAATTGAGTCCCCTCATTTTACAAATACAGAGAAATGAAGTGATTTGTCCCCTGCTGCTCCCTGGTAACCCTACTGGGAGGTATCCGAGATGGGATTGGAGGTCAGGTCTTCCTGCTTCAAAGTGTGCTTTTCCCTACACCTGCACATGCACAAAGCACAAAGGAGGTGTGACCAGTCACCCTTTTACATCGACACTGAAAGCTTGTCAAGTAGTAGGAACATCGTGAATTAAGAGCGACTCAAATCGATGGAGATTTACTGTAGGAAATGCCTTGGGCCACAGGCAGCAGGGGACGAAGGGAATTCAGTCTTCACTCTCCTTCTGCAGATCTCAGTTCCAGTTACACACCCTCTTAAGAATCTGAACGGGCAGAGACTGTGAGATGGCAGAGAGCCCAAGCCATTTTGACGCCCCATTGTTAGTTTCCCATTGCTAAACAATGACCTGAGTATTGCTGTATCTTTCTCCGTCCTTCTCTCTAATAGTTAGTCCCCCTATAGAAAAATGAAAGTTGAATTCCCCTGCCACAGGGAACTTCCATTATTTGTTTCTACTGAAGTTCCCATGTTCTGTGCAGCTAGGCTCTCTGACTGCAAAGGGGTTGGTTTCCACCAAACTTGGCTATCCTGGTAAATGAATGAAACCTGGAGCAAGAAGGAATAAAGGACTAGGTGTGGGTAATGAGCAGCTGTAGCCCCGAGAACGTCTGAGCTAGAACTCGTAATTGGAAATTCTGATCTAGTCCCAAGCCCTTTTTTTCCTTCTCAAAGGATTGCTCTCATCATAGCGATGAGAGTTTTCCACAAGCTGTGTGAAAGGGGTGCTGTTTTTATTCCTCTCTGTTGATGCACGCCTAATTAATTTATTGCCAAAATCAACAAACTGCTGGGCTCCAAAGCGTTTTGTTATCTGCGGATGTTAAACATTTTTGGCATGGACAGGAAGTGCTCAGATTATATTTTTATGCCATTTGTTTCTCCTCTAAACAAAATTTGGCTTCATCTGGAATTCCTTTTGTATACTTTAAGTAGCCTGAATATATATGTAACTCCTTTCCGGAAACATCAACCCCTCTGAATCAATTTCACACTTGCAAAGGTCGCGTAGGAGGTTCATGGAATGGACCACATCCCGATGGCGTCTGGTCGATGGAGTATAAACCAGTCACGTTTTATGGGATAGCTCAGTGACGGACTCCTCAGTAACTCTTCCAGCATCCTGTCCTACCCTCCCCCTCCCCAAGCCCCCAATATATCCAAGAGGCAAAGCAACTAATAGGAAGAAAAAGTGGGGGGAAACACCCCTTAGCTGTGGTTTCTAGATGCACATTTTGCCAGGCAGTGGAATGAATGTGAAAGGACCTCATTTTAAAGTAGAGGTGGGGTCTTCTATGACCCATAGATTGTGTAAATTATACTTTCATTTGGAATGTCCCCCATCCCCTTTCACTTTCCTTTGCGTCCATTGTCAGTTGGGACCTTGGATTCCTTGTAAGGGGTGAATGGACGTGTTTCCAGGTTGTTGTTGTTGGTTTTCCCCAGATTTTAAAGCAGGAAAATAAAAGCTGAGGAGACTTCTAGGGTCCTTTCTGTTTTCGTTTTCTTTTTCTTTTCTTTTTTGGGGGGTGCTCATTAGGATTTGCAGTGTGGGTCAGCAGATCTGGTGGTTGTCTCGCTCAGTCGATCCCCGGAGCTCTGCTTTTTTCTCTTTCACCTTGCCTTCTGTGTTATCTCCTCCTCCTGCTCAGATGGCCCGGCATCACCACCCTTTTCCCAGCGCCCTCCTCCCCAGCTTGTCCTGCTGTATTCAGGGAGCTGTGGGAGTGGAAACAGATGTACATCATGTCTGTTTTTATTGATCACGCTGCTGTTGTGTCTCCAGAATTCACAGACACCCTGTTTATTTACAGGGAAGCAGTGGTGGGTAGGGCTGTGGACTTGATATCAGGAGAGAGCTGGGTTCAAATCCCGTCTCCGACCCTCACTGGCTGTGTGTTCAAGGGCAAGTTGTTGTATGTCTCTGAGCCTCAGTTTCCTCATTCATAAAATGGAGAAAATAATACCTGCGGGAGGTATTGTATCTACCTCTTATAGTTGTTGTAAGGGTCAAATGAGATGCTTGTAAAGTGCTTTGTCAACCTTAAATCAGTAGAGGAATAGCAGGCATTATTATTCAAAGGGAGGCAAAGGAAGGTACTGGGGCACAGTGGAGAGAAAGCTGGCCTTGGAGTAAGGAGGTCGTGGGTTCAAGTCCTGACATACCCTGGTACTATGGTGCCCCCAGGAAACGCTTTAAGATTATAAGTTGCAGAGAAAGTGTTGGTCTGAATTGGAAGAGGAGTCTTCTTCACTGGGAGCTCCCTACATCAGTGTCATCATAAGTTTGCATGAAGATATACATTTTATGTGTGTGAGTGTGTGTGCGTGTGTGTGCATGTGTGTGCATGTGTGTGTGTGTCTGAGTGATAGCTGGGTTGCTCTCAGCCTCGGTGGAAGGAGATCACACATGGCGGTTTTCTACCCTGACAAAATCTGGGTATCTTTCTGTTAGCTAACCTTTGAGTTACTTGGAATGTGCAATC